ATGGATCCCATCCCATCCCATGGATCCCATCCCATCCCATCCCATCCCATCCCATCCCATCCCACGGATCCCACGGCTCCCCTCCCATCCCCGGCTCGGTGCTGCCATCAGCTGGCTCCTCCAGCCCCGCTCCTCCGCCGCTCCACAGCCGCCCGTGGGAACCTCCCGCAGCCACTGGAAAGGGAACGATTCTCACTCTGTATCAGAGCACTGCGGGAAATGACACGTGAATGAACATTTCCAGGGATTTTGGCTGTCACACTCTGACTCTGCGTTTCTTTCATGGGACCCAACCGGGAAGCAGAGATTTGCATCCAAACATTTCATTATCATCACTTCAATCACAGAAAATAGCTCAGCAGAGCACTTGGCAATCAAAAACAATATGGAAAATGTTAGAGTTGGTGACAGAAAAGGGAAACACGAGAGCACACATGTGGATAGATGCAGAGAAACATTTTCATTTCTCAGTTCTCTCTGGTAGTTCTCACAAACGGAAACTTGACAAGGGCAGGGAGATTTCTACAGATGAGGAAATCCTGTATAGAAACTCTCCCTCTGCAGCCGTTGGCAGCCAGTTTGAAACAGGAGACAATTTCCCGTCATTACTACAAAAAGAGCTGTGTTACAGAGGGCATGAGGGCATTCCCAGGGCAGGCCTGGTTCTAAAATCCTTGTAGCTTGTGATGTCCAGAAAGTGAGAACATTTCTATTTCATTTGGAATTTCTTCACACAGGCAGTGGTGTCCGGCCCTGCTGGAAGACCAGAGTGCTGTAGGTCACTTCATTCTGGGGATGTGAGAGAAAACACAGACATTAGAGAGTGCACAAGCACTGCAGCTCAGCAGGAATTTCCCACTTCTGACTTGTCCTCAACACCCCACACCATAAGCAGCCAGTGGGGGAAATTGGTAAATGCTGGTTCATCCCACTGCTCAGAGCTCAGGGTTCTGGGTCAAGTCTCCTTTAGGGGCTTCCAAAGAATTAATATCACAGAGGAAAACTGCAGAAATGCTTCCCCTTTAAAAAGATTTCTCCTAACCTGCCTCCTCAGTGGTTTAGTTAAGCCCCAGAAACCCTGAAGTTCCTTGACAAAAGAACTGCTGAGTAACAGTTGAGTCTCAAAGGTGACTTTTCTCCCTCCCACCCCAAATTAATATTTACCACACTGTCAAGAATGTGAAATATCTTCATAAGGCATTAGAAACGACAGTTGTGACACTTACCTGGCACCTAAGAGATTCCTCAGCTGCCATCTGGGAGAAAGATTCCTCTTGTAAATTTTGGTGGGACCTTTTATAATCTAGGAAGGAAAGGGGTCCCAGTCTGAGCTGTTTGCACAGTGTTTGGGGACAGCAGTGCAAGGGAGGCTGGGGAGAGGTGACAGCTGAGTGTGACCTCTGGCACAGACCTGCACAGCAAAGTGGCAGCTTGGGCTGCCCAGGCCCTGCACACCTGCTGGAACAGGATCAAAGGGACTGAGGAGTCCAGTCTGGCCAGGATTGGGATGAGAAAAGCCCACAACCAACAAAACCCCCCACAACTCATCGGTGGCAAAGTTAACTCCTTCCTGAAAGCACTGCTGGGATGATTGATGAGGAATTGCTTCCAGGGACGAGCTGTTCAAGGCAGACATTGTTTCAGCCACTTTATGCCCTCAACTGTGTCACTCACTTTTCCTGAAGAGAGTGATGATTGCAAAAATCAGGACAGTCAGGAGGATGCCAGAGATGAAGGCCAGTGACATGAACAGTATTTCATGGCTGTTGATACACAGAAAATCCTGTCAGAATCCCCAGTTTCAACAGCAGGATTGAAGCACCAATAGTGCTCAAATTCACCAAACTTTATGGAGTGTGACATTTATCCCCAGCCCCAGATTAAAATGTGTGTATCTGCATTGAGCATCTCCAGGAATCACCCATCCAGTGCACAGACTAGGAAATTCTAACCAAATTTTAACCCCCCAAGATGTTAAATATGTGATATATAACCCTTCCCTTGCAGAAGGAGGCTGCAGTCTCAGGGAACTCTGGGTTTGAAATAAAGGTGCAGCATTTACTTATTAATCCAGCATCTCATTTCTGCATCTTTGAAATCAACTGCAGGGGTGTGCACGGTGGCAGGGACAGTGCTGGGGACAGTGGTAGTAGTGGAAACGGGTCCTGGTGCAACTGCAATAGTAAAAAAAAATAATCACAAGCTTGTTTTAAAAGGGGCAAATTTCTGCAGTAGTACTGGAACCACATGGGGGCTGTGTCTGTACAGTCTGTCTGAAAGTGGAACCAGCAGACAGGAAAATTCTGCTGCTCAGATGATGACTGTGGCAGGCAGCCATGCAGTTCTTCCCCAAAGCCCCAACATCACCTTAGCACTGCAGCTAAGGAAATCCCTTCAAAAATAAAATACCTGGATCTGCTCTTGAGGAAAAGCTTCCCATTCTCTCAGAGCATTAACTGACAGGAAGAGAAGCTGAAAGGGAAAAGAGTTATATTTATATACATATACACATAAGCAAAACAAACCTGTTGTCCTAACTCAAAATACTTGATTTAGCTTTTATTAATTTCTTGTAAATCTTATAAAAGTGGCACAAAGCCACTTGAAGCTGGCAGCTCCTCAGCATCAACCCCTGCCCAGTGTCCTGTTCCTGAACACGAGTTCACTGCTCTCTGAGGGGCACGGTGCAGTCTCCACCCAGAAAACGGAGGATATTTAATAACCAAAAAGCACCTACAGGATTGATTTTGCAGTAGCTAAAACCTTACGAACATTTTCATAATCAGAAGCAGCTTTGAAAAGTTCCTCCCTTGATGTTTAAGAGACTTTTCCCACCAAAATAGGAACAGTAACTTTTTTCTCAATTTTTCTTTTACTCTAGGACAGTGTGGAATCTTAAGAGATAGGGATTCTTAAAGACATTCTACTGCAAAATCCTGGCATTTCTCACCACGTGATTTGCAAACTGCAGATTGTGAATAACATAAAAATATTACAAGATGAAAATAAACACCCTGTTCTCTGCTGCTGCCACTTTTCCTACTGCACCCCACTGTCACCACATTCCAGGGGAGTCAAACCATGACAGCTCCCCGTTTCCCACACCAAACCTCACAGCGCGCTGGGTTTGCAGTAATAAAAGAAGAAATGATCCAGCTCCATCTTACCTCCCACCATGGAAACGCTGCTGGAAAACTCCCCAAGTGTCAGCACACCAGTTTAACCACTTGCTTTGTGAGAAGAATCTGTCACACCAGTTAAAGACTCCAATGTCAATCAGATGTGGGTTTACACAATTGTGGAAGTTGAGTAACTTCACTTTTTTATTTAAATTGACAGAAAACAGGAAACCATGAAAGACACCTGCATTCTCTGGAGCTGTTTATCTAAAAAAGTAAGGCAGTTTCAGCTCAGGTTGGCTTGAAGGAAGGTTCTTGGCTCTAAAGGAACCATTTTGGTGAACTGGGGTACTGTGTCAGAAAACCCTGTTTCTTGGTCCCTGAGGAATGGGATCACAGGCACGCCCCAGTCTGTGCTCTTGGCTTCAGGGACCGCATCAGTCACAGGTCAGCACACACAGCACGAGTTTAGTCACGGGTGTGCTCTGCTGGGATTCTGGAGTTTTAAAATTCCTTCAGGGAAATGCTTCCTATGAAAAGAAAATGAAGAGACTTCTGGAAGTCCAGGAAAACTGCTATGGAATAAACTCGTCTGTTTCCCTGCTTTAAACTGAGTATGGACACCATCAGCTGAGGGAGTTTTTCAGAGCTTTTGACACATTTCCTGCCTGATCACGCTTTTTCCAGAACCCAAACCCTTTCAACACTGCGTGAGGCTTTATGGTGAAAGGGGATTTCCAGCTCCTTTAGAGAACCAGAACATTCACCCAGAGCCCCTCCAGCAGGCGGATGGGAGCACAAATCCTGATTTTAGAACATGGGTACAAGGACAGCAGGTTGCTATCTCACAGAATTGAAACACATTCAGCACCAGAATTTTTCTCTGCGAAGTTCTGTATCTCTAAAGTGTTCGTGACCAAAGAGGGGACCCAACAGGATCTCACACACTGTGGTTTCAGCTCATCCCCCACCAAAAACCAGCTGCGGTGGTTGGTGTGAACATCCAGTGACTTCAAACACAAACAGGCAGGGACTGCTGCTAGTGACACACAGCAAAGGTTTTTTCATTTGTTTAATGATTTTACAGTCACAGAGGAGGTACTGGGACAGGTCAGTGGGCTCAGACTGCTCACACGGCTGCGTGGGCACTCTTGGACAGCGCCTTCAGGTCCAGGATGCACTTGGCAATACTTTCCTTCTGCTGCAAGAGAAAGGAAACAGCCCTCAGGAGACAGTTCAACAAGCAAAACAGACATTTAAGTACATTTTAGAGAAACCTTCTCAGACCTGTAAGTTACTTGTTAAGAGGGAAGCAATTACAGCTCATGAGGTCAGAAATTCAGATCCAATAAAGCACAGACTGATGGAATCCCAGAAGGTTTGGGTTGGAAGGGACCTCAGAGTTCATCCAGTCCCACCCCTGGCCAAGGTTACCCGTCACCTCATGAGCCAGGATCCCTGAACAGCAAATCTTAGTGCAGGCTAAAACATAAAGCAGGGAAAACCCAGCAAGTACCTGCTGAGGTGTGATGCTCTGAACAACGTTCTTCTCCACCCACTGGATCATGTGGTCCTGCTCCTTCTGCCGCTTCAGGTTCTGCATGGCCACCTGGTAGTCCAGCCTCTTCTTCACCTCGTTGTACACCATCAGCAAGCGCTCCCGGTAGTTGGTTTCCAGCAGCATGGCAATGTTGTTCTGCACGGAGCAGGAGACAAGAGGCTCAGTCTGGCAGCAGAAGATGCTCTGGCAGGAGTGCAGGACCCCAGCAGGGCAGGCTGCCCTGGCCTGAGCAGCAGCAGCGCTGCCCTGCTCACCCGCTTGGCATCGAACAGGTAACTGCGGCCTTCCACCCGCCACTGCTCCTTCTTCTCCTCCTCGATGGCCGTCTGCAGGGTCTGGATGGCCTCGTTCTTCATGGCTAAAGCTGAGGCCACTTTCTCCTGGAAGAAGGAAAGAACTCCATGCTTCAGAGTCAGGTGCAAGGAAAACAAGTGATTTTTTAATTATTCCTGATTAATCCTGAAATGTTGCATTAAGCTGACAGAAATGTCTGTGTGAACTGCCCCGTGCCACGGCTGAGGTTACAGCAACAGAGAAGAATGAGGGCTCACAACCAGTCAAGGAATCCCAGATGGCTTGGGCTGGAAGGGAACTAAAATTCCATCCAATCCCACCCCCTACCATGGGCAGGGACACCTCTCACGGCCCCAAGCCCTGCCCAGCCTGGCCTCTGACACTGCCAGGGATCCAGGGCCCCACCACCCCCACAGGGAAGAATTCCTTCCCCATATCCCATCTAACCCTGCCCTCTGGCAGTTCAAACCCATTTGTACTTTAATAAAACCATTCCTTACTAACGACTGCAAACTCAAATTACTGAGTCTCCATTACCTCGTTAAGTTTGTCAGCAAAAGCTGCGACATCAGCCCCAAACTTCTTGATGCCATAAATGATGACTGTCAGTATGCAGGCAGCTGCTGCTGTCTCGTGGTTCACAACGTAGATCTCCTTGGAAAGAAGGTAGAGCAGGAGGCCAGTGCCCAACATGTAGGGCCCTACAGGAAAAATAAAGCAGCATTACTTACACAAGGCATAACGAGGCTCAGTAAACCCAAGTACCTAAGAGGGAGTACTTTAAAGGCTCACGAGGTCAGGGAGAAGTGTTCTATTTTACCAGGACAAGAAGAAGAGCCACAATTGCACCTGGGAAAGGTGCCACAAGGAATTTCACTAGGTTCTCACCTGACATGGGACCTGCTGCTTCTGCTCATTCAGAAACACGCAGAATTTCCTGTTTAAATGTTTTAAGGACCAGCAGGCAATTAAACCTTTCTATAAAATCAAGCCTGTGGAACTCTGTTAACTATTAGGTGTCTAACTTTAGAGCCAGGAGTCCTGCACTGGATTGTTCTTCACAACCTGCACATGCAGAATACTCATTTTTAGTAATATTTTACCTTTTCAGCAGCCAGAACTGGTGAGCAGAACCACGTAAGCATAGCTAAAAATGGTAAAAGTCTATATTAACCTGTAACTCCTGTTTTAGGGTAGAGAAACTGGAAAAACTCCTCAGGGATCAAACCATGACGAACTTCTCCTCCCTTCTCAGGCAGAGGTGGCACAGGTGCCAAACTCTGCTGAGTTGTGTGCAGTGGTCTTGTGGTGTGCAACACCCTGTGAACAAGGAGAGCATTTCAAGTATGATTCTTATTTAAAAAACAGACAGAACTAGTCCCCCAAACCACCCTTAGGTAAGGCTCGAGCACATTTCCAATTAAGTAGGTAACTGGTGAGGCCCGGGCACGGGGTGCCCAGGGAAGTTTAGCTGCCCCATCCGTGGCAGTATCCAAGGCCAGGCTGGACCTGCTCGAGGTGTCCCTGTCCACGGCAGGCTTGGATGAGTTTTGAGGTCCTTTCCGACCCAAACTATTCCGTGATTCGAAGGTGGCGTTTACTGGACACACCTCCTGCCAGGAAGTGGGTGGGACTAGATAACCTCCAGAAGTTCCTTCCCACCGTCCGTCATTTATACTCCCACAACACGAATGGAGAAAATAAAAGAGACAAAACGGCAGAATAACGCGGTTTAAGCACAAATCCCGGCCGGTGTCCGAGGGACTCCCCCGGTACTCACCCCACGGCGACGGGCGGCGGCAGCGCCCTCAGCGCGGCGGGGGCTGAGGGGACAAGAGGGCAGAGAGCGCGTCAGGGCAGAGCTCGGCCGGCACCCCCCGCCCGGCACCCCGCTCCCCCCCGAGCAGCGGCACTCCCCGCGGCTCACCGGCGCGCAGCACGAGGCGGGACAGCATGGCGGGCCGGGGCAGGGCCGGGGCAGGGCCGTGAGCAGCGGCGGCGCGGAGCCCTCGTCCCGCTCGGTGACCGCCGCCGCCGGGCGCTGAGATGGCGGCGCGGCTCTCGCGAGAGCGCGGGGAGGCGGGCGGGGGGCGGGCGCTCTCGCGAGAGGAGGCGGCGGCGGGAGGCACGTGGGGGCGCCGCCGGCCCCGCCGCCGCCGCCATGGAGGAGCCGCCGCCGCCGCCGCTGCTGCCCCAGGCGGCCCCGCCGCCCGCCCCGCCCGACACCGCGGCGCCCGCGGCCTCGGTGGATGGGGAGCCCGCGGCCGATGCCGCCTCCGAGTGGAACATCCCGCCCAACGCGCCCGCCTGCATGGAGCGGCACCTGGAGCGCGCGCACTACCGCGCAGGTAGCGGGGCGGGGGGCGCGGCGGGGCCCGGGAGCCGCGGGCGCTGCCCGGGGGTCCCCGCGCCTCCCCTCGTGTCTCTCCTCGTGTCTCTCCCGCAGACGGGGCCCTGCTGCTGGGCGCCTCCGGGCTGAACGGGCGCTGCTGGAGCGGCTCGCTGTGGGTGTTCGCGGAGCCCCGGCGCGCCCCCAGCGAGGGATTCTGCACCGCCGGCGTGCAGACCGAGGCGGGGGTCGCCGACCTGTGCTGGCTGGCTGACAGGGGCATCCTGGTGGCCTCCGACTCCGGTAAGCGCTGGGGATGCCGCCCTTCCTTGGCTGGGGTGTGTCCGTCCCTTGTGCGGAGCTGGAAGCCCCCGTTCCTCACCGAGCTTCCCCTGCATCCCCAGGGGCGGTGGAGCTGTGGGAGCTGGAGGAGGACGAGAGCCTCATCGTGAACAAGTTCTGTAAATACGAGCACGATGATATCGTGACATCGGTGTCTGTCCTGGCTGGCAGCAGCCAGGCTGTCAGCGGGGGCAGGGATTTCTGGTGAGTGTCCCCAGCCTGGCAGCCGTGTGGCCGGGCTGTGCTGGGCGCTCACTGCTCGCTCTTGTCCCCAGCGTGAAGGTCTGGGACATCCCGGAGCAAATGGTGCTGCACTCCTACAGAGGTGAGTGCCAACCCAGCCTTCTCTGGCCTTTTTTATAAGCCCCTTCACATCCCACTGTGACCCTTTCCCCCTGAGCCCCTGTCTGGCTCCCTCAAGCTCAGGGGTGTCACAAGGACTTGTGGTTGCACTGGGCAGCTCATCATCACTTGGGTAGGAAGCAGTCTGCTGGAGCAGGAGTTATCCCGTGTCTGGGCATGACTGTTGGACTGCTGTGCCTCTGGAGGTCCTTGGGAATACATAGGAAAGTTGGATACAATCTTTGAGGCTCTTTATCCTTTTGTGCTTTTGGTAGCTCACTCCGATGCAGTGACATGTGTGGCTTCCTGTCCTGGTAAGGACACTGTGTTCCTGTCCTGTGCTGAGGTAAAGCTCTCTCTATTGTCTAAACCTACCCCATTAAAATGAGATTTAACTTTAGCTATTTACACTTTAATGCACTTAGAAACCACGTCTTGTGTTACTGCAGTGTTCTAGTCTGATAAATTTATAATCAGTTTACCAAGCTGATTCCTACAGGTTTGTATCAAATCTTGGGAGCTCCTAGTTCTGTCCTGGGGATGACTGAAGGCTGCACTTAATGACAGCATCATTTTAACCCAGAGGAAAAGGCAGAGACATTTTGCCTGTGAGTCAGCAGCGAACCTGAATTTATGCCACAAAGAAATTGTAAAATTCTTCTCATTCCTTTTGGATTTATAGGACAACAGAATTTTACTCTGGGACACCAGATGCCCCAAACCAGCTACCCGAATTGGTATGTGTCTGTGTGCAGTCACTGCTTCTGTATGAGTTTGTGTTGGAAGAAATAAATTATTTTATGCCTGACTTCTAACTCCAAATCTAGTGATGTGCCTGTTAAAACCTAAGGGGATCTAACACTGTCACAGAAGTACAATAAGCTTAAAACACTTGTCTTGATGCAGGAGCAGTGCTAAATGAGATAGATGAGGAATATCTTTGTGCTGCCTCCTTCCACACTCACCCATCTCTTCCCTCGCAGTTTGCAGTGCCTGTAATTACCTCCCTACCTCAGTCATGTGGCATCCACAGAAAAGTGACATCTTTGTCTTGGGTAAGAACCTGGACTCTCACCAGGAAAATCAAGGTGGGTGTTTTCACAGGACAGTTTCTGCTGGTAACTTCAATCCCCCCTCTCTCCCAGGTGATGAAAGTGGAACAGTTGCACTGGTGGACACAAAGAATCCTGACTCTGCCCTCAGCGCTGCTGTGCACACCCAAGGCATCACAGGCTTTGCTTTTTCTGCACACAGGTACTGAAAGATTCTGGCACAGAACGAGGGACTGCATCCCCTTAAAAGCTTTAGTTATTTTGGAGTGAAACCTATGAGAGTGCCAGGTTTGGCCCTCTTATCAAGGAGGTTGTAGCAGGGAATAGAGTAAAAACCAGGCAGCATCTCACTTGTGACATGTGCTAATGTCCATGACAAGAATTCTGCAGTTCCACAATTACTGACCCATACACCGTGGGGATTTTCCTAATTACAGTCACCTCTGATTAAAGAAGGATCACTGGCTTTCAGACTCTCAGAATATTCTCACTCAGTGTACAGGCACCCTGCCAAATGCTGATGGAAACATTTTTGTAAGATTTTTGTGAGTTAATTTGCAGTACCTGGGTCAGGATCACTAAGAACTTTACTGTTCACAGGTTTATCCCTAAAAATTGTTGTATTTGTTTGTTCTAACTGTGCTCTCATCTCTCTAGTTCACCCTTACTGGCTTCCATCAGTGAAGACTGTTCAGTTGCTGTTCTTGACTCAGACCTCTCAGAGGTGTAAGTACAGACAGAACATACTGCTGTTCTCTTCTTGAGTTAATTATTAATACACAGGATGGAGGGTGGAAAGGACCTTGAAGATCATTCATTCCACCCCCTGCCATGGGCAGGACACCTTCCACTGTCCCAGGCTGCTCCAAGCCCTGTCCAACCTGGCCTTGGACACTTCCAGGGCTGGGGCAGCCACAGCTGCTCTGGGCAACCTGGAGGTGGAAATGTTCCTGAATAAAGGAGCATCATTATACCAATCCAGCAGTTAGGGATTGCCCAGGCCCACATCCTCTCTAATGATGGCTGATGGAGTGTTGGTGTTTTCCAGGTTCAGAAACCGCTCTCATCGAGACTTTGTGAAAGGCTTGTCCTGGTCTCCTTCAGATGATGCCTTGCTCACTACAGTTGGATGGGATCATCAGGTTTTACATCACACTGTTCCCCTCCCAGCTGGTGAAGCTTCTGGAATCAACTGTGTAAAAGAATAGTTTTATAAACTCGTGGTCCAAGTTCCTTGCTGGCATCACTTTGATTCTGCTGAAGTCACAGGTGTGTGAGCTGGAGTGTGGGGTCTGTTGTCTGCCTCAAAGCTTGTGGCTGAGAAGCTTCCTGTAGTAATTTTGAATTAGGCATAAGTTAGTTACAATACAAGCTCTCTCCTCAGGAGTAGCTTCTCCTGTAATAAAAGACTTTGGTTTTACTCAGAAAAAAATTGACTTCAGGCACAGAGGAGACTCGGAGAGACAGGGAATTAGGTGTAATGAAAAAAAAAATAAAGTCAAAAAGACTTGATTCAGTTCTCCAGACTACCCATGGAATTAACAGAAGCTTTTGGGGGAGGTTAGGAACACACATCTTGTTGGGTAGATGGGAGATCCTCACCCTTGAGCAAAGTTCTTTGCTCTGTAAATCAGGTGGAATGAAAAGACCTGTTGGGATTCAAGGGCTAGAAGGGTTCCAGTGCCATCCTTAATGCAGCACGTGGTGGAGAGGATTCAGCCCCAGTGGCAGTCTGGAGCCTCTGGTGAGCACCACTCGTGCACTGGTGTGAAGTGAGCTCCCAGCTGGAGCCCAGCACCTTTGGCATGGTGCTGGAATCCTGGGCAGCCAGCAGGGAGCGGGTGCTGTGCTCTGACACCACGCTTCATCTCCTCTGTGCTGAAGGCATTCCTCAAGGATGAGACCTGTGAACAAAAGGTTTCTGTGAGGGAAAAACTGGACTAAGGACTTGAGTTGTCATTTGCTTGCTCCTGTTGCAGACTCTGCTTAGTGATAACCCAGATCCATGCACTTGTGACAAGTGACTTCTTGTGCTGGCACTGAGGGGACAGGACAGTCCCCTACCCCCAAACCAGACTCCACAGAACCTGTAGAGGTGTTTTTGTCAAATACCACATACATTTCTGACTCAGCTATTTCCCTGGAACATGTTTACCTGGAGAAGGTCACTGCTCTGCATGCATTGCTGCTGCTCTAGGTATGCCCTGGTCTGGCCTAGTATTTCCTTGACAGAATTAAGCAAGTCCTGACAGATGAAAAAAAATAGTGTTGAAATGAATGTTACCCCCAGTTCTTTAGCATGATAGCAGCACTTAAATGTACACTGCTTCCAGTTTTTATCTCTGCATACACATAGGTTTAGTTGTGCAAAGCCCACAATGAATTTTTAGGCAGACTAAGCTTCCCCAGGCTCTGTACTTGTCTCTTTGTAAACCTCACTTGCTGCTTTTTAAATTCCTGTGTCATACAGATGTTCACAGCAACTTCCTGTTCTAGAGCAGTGTATGACAAGAAATGGTAAATGATGATCAAAAGAGACATTTCCTCAGAAATACCCCTTGAACCACGGAGTCCCCTGTTAGGGACCTGTGATGCTGTACTGAAACAGGTCTTGTGCTGATTCTGAAACAGTCGTCTTGGAAGATGGTTTTCATTTGTAACTGGGTTTAAGTTTCACTGGGCCACTTCTGTAGCACTGAAGAGCAAGCTGAGATCATCCACACACTTCAAGTTGTGATTTCAGTCCCTGATATTAAAACTGTTCTTAAATAAATGTTCACCGTATTCCTGTTCAATGCCAGGGTACTACAGTTGTTTGGCACTGGTGCAAGGCAGGCTCTGGGTCCTGCTGCTTTCCAGGAAGTTTTTCTTTCTAGAACTCTGGGGTTCCATCGTGCACAGCTAAAAAGAAAAGTTCAAATATCAGACATTAAACCATATTAGGTAGCTCATATTGCCACACCTGAGCAAAACACAGCAGTCCCTGGCAAAAGACTCATGGTGGATGGTGAAGCCTGTGGGGAGAGCAGGTGATAAATAAACTTCTTTACAATTAAAGACTGAAGAACCCTCAATCTTCAGCATCTGGCAGGTGTTTGTGGTGCCACAGGATGGCAGCAGCTGCCCTCGACAAGGGCACGGCAGCACCGCCCAGCTCTGCCTGGAGGAGTATCTGCTTTTGGGGCTTCCAGCACCTGCACGTGGGGTTTTTCACTCCTAAGAGAAGCACAGAAGAGCAGCAGTTCAGGAGTCACTCCTGGGCTGCAGCTTGGACCAGAGGTGTTGTACCAGTGCTGGCAAGGCTGCAGTAAAGTCACAGACACGTGAGCAGCGTAGCAGGAACACAACACAATCCCACATCAATCCTTGCTGGCTTTGCAGCTCCCTGCCAGGGAATGCAGGGAATTGTGTGGGGTCTGTGGCTTGCTCGGCTGTCCCTGCACCACACCCCAGTCAGGTTTGGGGACACCTGGGTACATCCCCTGTGGCTGCAGTAGGAACTTCAAGGCACACATGGCACCCTTTCCTCCCTCACAGACTGCTCCTGCAGCCAGAGCTGGATGGAGATGAGAATGCAGATCAGTTTAATCAGTTTAATTCTGAGTGGAGAGCAGCAGAGAAACCTTTTGTGTTGCTGCCTGCATTGCTCACTGTGCTTGCAGCTTTGGGCACAGCATTCGAGTTGGGACTTGTAACAGGTATGAGAGTTTCTCCCTCATGAAGGGCTCCAAGCCCAGGACTATTTATAGAATCTGCTCCTGTGCCAGCCTGCCCAACCAGCTGGGTGTGAGTGACAGAGCTCTTGGGGCTCAGCTGCCCCTTCATGCCTTGACTGGGCTTCTAAAACACTGAAATGGCCACAGGCTTTGGATGAACTGCTCAGAGAAATTGGACCAAGTTCTAGGTAAGATGAAATTCAAACCTTACTGAGCTACATTTTCCCATCCTTTCAAGGACGTGCAAACTTCTCAATCCTCCAGCAGACAAGACCGTGTAAGCAACATTAAAAAAAAAGTCATACCACACATGTAATAAAACATTCAGAAATGTTTAATGCAAGAAGGTTGGTGTTCAATGGCACTTATAAATAAAAGACTTTGTTCAATACTTTACAGCTAAAGCTCTGTTACACTCCCCTAGCAGGAACTTGTGAGGAAGAGGCAGCTGCAGGGGATAATATAAGTTGTATCACAACTTGAATTACCACACTGCATCAGAGAGGGTGAAGTGAGAATAATTCCACACTCAGGTATCAGGATTGCTCTCAGCACTGGGCTGAGGCAGGGTGCTTTGCTCCATTAACACCCCTTAGTTCTGTTTCTTCTCACTCTGTTGCTAAATTTCCATAGTGAAAGAGCTGGGAGGAGCAGGACCAGGAGCAGTTTATCCACAGGACCTGACAGAGTTACCTGCCCCAGGAAGAGGAGGCTCTCCCCCATCCCTGCAGTCCTCACCTCCTGAGAGATCTCACTGTCCCCAAGTGCTCTGGCTGCCAACAGCTCTGACAGTGGTTCCTTTGTCACAGCAGCCCCAGAATCAATGGTGAGTTGTTTCTGAAATACCAGAATGTGCTGAAGGCATACAAAAGCAGCAGGGATAGTCCAAAGGGTCTGAAGAATAGAAGTGTTCTGCTGCTGAAAGCCTGCATGCTACCCAGTCCTACAACTGGAAGCAGAGTCCAGCCTGATTCAGTGACAGCCCCTGTGCAGTCCCAGAATGGTGTTTTTGAGTGAAGAATGGCTATTTTATAAAGCTGACTTCTATTATCACGCTTCTAATACTTAATTAAAACAACTATGTCTGCTAGAAGTGACACACTCCATGGTGTCTAAGACCATATTTCAGCTACACATGAATTGTGTGTCTGGATGAAGTAGTAAATGTGACATTTAAAGCAAGTGCCAACATTGGAGTGTCACATTTTTCTCTACAAAGAAAAAAAAAAACAACCAAAAAAGCAAACAAACTTGTGTTGGGGAGATCGTAATTTGGAAGAATTCTTGAGGTGGAAAATTGCACACATACCCCCTGCCCTCACCACTTCTGGGCAAAGTCAGTATCAAAAGCTGAAATTGCCCACCCAGCCTTAAAATTGTTTTTGAGAGCTCATTTGCAATTATAGCTTATTATTTTGAAAAAAACCCCAAAAAACCAAAAACTATCAAGAAGAAAAAAAAACCACATTAAATTGCAACGTTATCAAAGAGACTTCTTTGTTTGCTTTCAAGCTAAACTGGTGAAACTTCATCCAATAGCAAAACATACCCTGAAGGCCCTGAAGGAGGATCACGGATTTACTTCTACAAATGAATGAGAATGCTCAAGATGCTCCTTGCATAAAGAAAATTCCATGTTTTAGGGTAGGTGGTATTCCACAAGACACTTGGGACACTTAAATGTCCTTATAATTACTCCATAGTCACTTTTCTCCATAAATATTCCAGCACCCAGATATTTAAACCCTATTATTTCAATATTAGCTGGGGTGAACAAAGGAAATCTTCCAAGTCACTGTGACTTACTGGCATAAAAATGTCCTTTGAATTAGCTATTAGACTGATTATTGTATCTGCATTTTCATTTTATTCACAGCAAAGTAAAGTTCAGAATACTTTAAAACTGCTGCAATATCTGAAAGGGATGTTAAATTATTAGGTAAAGCTGGAAATAACACAAAACACAGAATGCCAGTGACATGACTCGAATATCAAGATAACTTTTGAGAATTCAACTGTGAAGGAAAATTTATCCCTGATTTGAGCTGAATGAGCAAGATCTGCTTGCAGGCCACATCCAGGTGTGCGCCAGGCAGGGTAAGCTGGAGTGGAACCAGTGGGATTTATAGCATTGAAAATAGAAAGTGCTTTCCATAAAAATAGACTCATGTCTCAAAGTGCTTTTAGTTTGCCAGTGATTAGAAAATATTCTCTACAAGTTTTTACAGTTATTTTACAGTGATTTTCAGCAAGTTTACCTGGGAGGAAGATTCTCTGTTTCTAGCTTCAGGAATTATTCACAACTCAGGTCAGCTGTTGTGAGACCCCACTGCTCACTCTGGAAGCTGAAACCCTCTAAGGCTACTCCGAGCTCCCACCCCTGTGTCCACCAGCAGGAATCAGGGGCAGCTCTGCACATCCAGCACCTGGAAAAGCACCGAGGGAAACAGCGGGAGCCAGCTCCTTTCCCTGCAGACACCCCACATGCCGCCAGGATAAATACAGTCACACTGAAATTGAGCTTCAAAGCAGGCACATGGAAGCCAATCTCAGTAGAATAAGTAGAATAAGGACTCTTGGGGTCACAGGGCTGTGATGTGGCAAGAGACACCTCGGGGACAGCACCAGCAGCACAGCACCTGGGCGAGTGGTGGACACCCACCAGCCCAAGGAAAAGGATTGCTCCATGACCTATGTCTCCAAAGTGCTTTACAGCCATCCAGCCAGGCCTCACAGCCTCCTTCCACGAGGAATAATTACCAACAGAAACATTTACAGTGACCAAAAGGCACAGCAAAGCAAGGCCCCTGCTCCCGAAGCGGCTCCTGGAGGAGGGGTTGGAGCCCTGCTCGGCAGGACAGGCACTGACAGCCCAGGGCTGGGTTTAAGGCAAACTCTTGAAGGACAGAAAGGCTCAGGATCCAGGCATCTCCTCCTATCCCACTGGCCTCACATTCTTATTTTAATCCCTGACATTTAGCTATACACTGCTTTGCTTCCACTGTGCACATCTCTCAGCCGGTTTCTCCCTGCTCCCAAACATGCTGGAGTTAAACCAGTTAACAAACAAACTGCAATCAATCTTTCCAGTGGTGATGCTCTTTAAAGAGAGCTGAGGATGCTCTTTGGCTTTCCTAGATGGCCTATCAGTCTGCAATTCTGACAATAATCCAGGAGGGAAAATGGGAAAAAAGGAAAGCACGTTTGCTCATGTAACAAGGCAGCGGCCTGCCCTCCGCAGTAACAATTCTCCTCGACAGTCTTTTGAGATAAGTCCGAGTCTCGGGCTCGTTCCCCACCTCCGTCAGCAATTTCAAGCAGGAGCATTTCCAGGCTGGGTTGGGACCGTCCCTGGTGCCGTAGAGAAGGAAAGGACCAAGCCTGGCACCCTCTCGCCCGTTGCCAGCCGGACGCCAGCGGGGCAGCCCCGAGGTCCGGCCTACCGGTGGCTCTGGTAGGTGTAGGAGATGGGCTGGCGCGTCCCGGGCCTCACCGTGAAGGTGTTGGAGGGTGCCCCGTAGTGCGGGGTGCCGTGGGCAGGCCTGCAGGGAGAAGAGAGGGGAACTCACACAAAGCCCAGGCTAACCTTGGCGTTCAGGCAGTACCGCAATGATCATTTTATCGCTTCGTGTCTCCACTCAGCGAGGTGGGGAGGGAGGGAGACGGGCACTGGGGTCACAGCTGGCACCAGGGAGGAGCCACAGAACGCTCACTGCCCTTGGAGCGGGAGCGAGCAGGAGCCAAGGGGCAGCGACTGCACTGGAACCCCCAGCGCTGCTGCAGGGCCGGTTCCAAGGGACACTGAGGACAGGGAGGGCTGGGCCCAGGGGACACGTACCTGCTGCCTGTCAGCACGCTGCCGGGCGAGAAGTCCCCGTTCTGCCCCTTGTACTTGGTGTCAGCCCCGCTGCCGCCGTACGCCGTGCCTTTCCCAGCAGCGTCTGTGGACGCCCGCCTGCCCTGGGCGCTCGAGGGGCCGTTCCTGTGGGCAGAGCCCAGGCGGCGAGACCCCTCCCCAGCCGTGGAGCCGAACCCCCCGGTGCCGTAGGAGGAGAGGGTGCCCGAGGCCCGGGGGGCTGCGGCTGCCCGGGGGTAGGAGCTGTCAGGCTCCGACACGTACAGGCGCTTCTTGATCAGCGGCCGTGGGTTGGGGCCGTGGCTGGGGAAACTCGTGGAGCTGCTGTAATCCGGGTACTGGGGTGTGAAGTCGCCGTTCCTCCAGCTCTTCTCCAAGGGCAGTGGAGCTGCTGGCTCCTGGTTGCCCCCGTAGCCGCGGCTGTAGCCAGACCACCTGAAATAGCGTGGCTCGCCCGAGCTCCGGCTGCTCTCAGGGACACTGGGGCACTTGCGGTTCTCCTCCCGACTCGGGAGGGGACCCTCGTCCGCCTCGTTGCTGAATTCGGGGGGTGGGGGGATAATCCCGAAGTCCAGTGCCGTGTCCCCGTTCTCCTCCTCCCTGGGCACTCCGTGGTGGGCTGGGCCGGGCTGGCTCGGCTGCCCCGAGTCCAGCAGGCCCCGGAGCAGGCTGGAGGCAGTGGCTCGCCGGGGCCCGGGGGGCTGCGTCTCGCCCACCGCCCGCCCGGCCCGGCCCTGCTCCGAGGAGCTGGAGAAGGAGGGGGCTTTGCTCCAGCCAGGCCCTGCTGGACTGGCCGCGGACGGCCGAGGCACCACAGTGAAGGAGTAGGGCTTGGACTCGTGGCGGAAGAAGCTGCTGGAGGTGGTGTCTGACGAGGCACTGCTGAGTCTCAGGGGTGGCTTTGCCCTCAGCACGGCCGCCCCATCCCCGCCCTGGCGGCCCCGCTGGGCACGCTGCCGGGCTGCCAGCAGCAGGGCCATGGGTGAACCCCGCTCCACGCGCTCCCCTGTCACGGGGTGGATCAGCACCTCCTCCTGCCCTGCTCCCGAGATGTCTGGGGGGCTCCTGGCTGAGCTCCCGGGGCAGGGGGCTTCAGCTGAGCCCGGGGCACAGCGTGGCTCGGCTGAGCTGGACCCAGCCCGGTGCACTTTGTACTGGAAGATGGCCGAGCTGGGCTCTGGTGCCGGGCTCTGTGCAGGGGACGCAGGGGATGAGGAGGGGGTGGGAGCAGGGGACTCCTCAGCCGGTCCCTGGGGTGGGTCTGGAGGACTCACGCTGCTGTTGAGGGACCCCAGAGCAGGGCTCACATCCTCTGTGACCTTGCCAGCAGCAGGAGCAGGAGCAGGAGCAGGATGGTCCTCGTGATCTGTCTCATCCTTTGCAGCAGCCACCGGGGCTGGGAGCAGGCTGGGGACCGTTTGTGGCACCACTGAGTCACTCGTGTCAGGGGGGCCCTTCCTCACTGGTGGGGTGCTGATGCCATTCTCCACACCCTGCTTCTGGCTGCTGAGCCCCACAAGAGGTTTCCCCTCTTTCTTCAGGGACAGCACAGCCTCCAGCTCGTTCCTGATCGTCATCACGCTGCGGGGCTGTGTGTCAGAGCTGCTCTCCGGGGTAGTGACTGCAGTGCTGGGAGAGCCCCCGTTGGTGCTGGGGGGGCTGCTGGGCACCTCCTTCTTCTCCCTCTCCCCTTCCTTGGATAACCCCGTGTCCTTCCTGGCGAGCTGGGGCTCACTGAGCCCCGGCTCATGGCTGCCAGCACGGCTGGGAGTGCTGTCCACGGGCTGGGGAGCAGCCGGCTTCTCCAGCGGCCTCTCCTCCCGGCGTGGGGAGCGCAGCAGGGCCGAGAGCTCGTCCCGCAGCTTGTTCAGGTTGCTGGCATCCTTCCAGTCATCCTCGCAGGTCGGGTAGTCGGGAGGAGGGAGATCCAGGTCGTTCGCAGTGAGAGGTTCAGATTTTGGAGGGGAGTCTCTCCCGGCTGTTTTCAGCTGGGTAATCTTCTCCCCCTCGGAGCCTGGCAGTGGGGACCGGCGGCCGGCAGGATTCACCCCTTGGCTGAGCCCTGGGCCCGGCTTGGGGCTCAGAGGAGGGGGTACAGCCGGCTTCCCAATGCCCTGTCTGAGCCCGGAATTTCTCTGCTCGGCTTCTCCCGGCCGTGCCTTGGCCGCGGGTCTGATGGTGAAGCAGGGTGGGAGGGGTGGCCGGGTGTGAGGCTGCCTGGGGATGGGCTCCTGCCGGCCGGGCTGGCCCTCCTGCACTGGGATGGACGAGGAGCGCGCAGGGGCCGGCGGCGGCACCTTGAACGACCTGGGGAAGGTGAGGTGGGGCTCGGGCTTGGGCTGCAGGCTCTCCTTGGGGCTGGGGGCTGCGGGCTCCCCAGGCTCGGCAGGGCAGAGCGGCCCCTCGGCATCCACCTGCCTCGTGTTCAGCACTGTCTCGGATTTCCACTTGGAGATGCCGGGGCCAAAGGGCGCGGGGTCCCGGACCCCCGGCGGGGCCGGAGGGATGAAGTCTGGAGGAGCCGGGGTGCTGGGGGGAGACAGGGCACAGGCGGGAGGCAGCGGGGCTGCCATGGCAGGAGGTGGTGGCACCACCTCGGGCGGCGGGGGTGGCAGCATTTCGGGGGGTGGAGGGACCGGCGAGGCCAGAGGGGGTGGCAGAGGCGCTGCCGGAGGGGGTGGAGGGGGTACCGATGGCGGCGGGGGGATGTCTTCATCCAGGTCATCCCCATCGAGGGCCTGTGGGCGCAGGTCCCCCACCGAGCTGTACATTCGGCAATTGCCATTGAGCTGGGAGCCAGAGCCTGCAAGAGCAGCGAGAGCACAGCCTGTGAGCCCCTCTCCATCATCATCATCATCATCATCATCATCATCATCACTGGCCTGTGCCAGTGGCCTGCCCAGGGAGCCAGCCCCTTGCCAGGCTTGTCTAAAACTTCCTGAACTGTAACAGCCTCTCTGCCTCACCCCTTAGGAATTAATTAATTTTCAATTACTTCAAAAAATAATTAATAGCAGACTCTATTTTAGCATGAAAATATATGGGCAGCCTGTCTGCTCCAGAGCTTGGTACACACACACTTCCTGCCCTGAGGGCTTGGTGAGCACTTTGTGCTGGCCAGGACTCCACAGAGAACATCCCTTACCGAGAGCTGCCTTTTCCTCAAAGTCTTCTGGCACCGACGGCGTTGGCACAGCCACCCCATGGGATTCTTGGGCGTTCTGCAAGAGTTGAGAAAACAGAGCTGTCAGTCTTCAGCCCAGGGATCAGAGAAAGGGCTGACAAGCAGCTGGTAATCTGTTCACACAAGCCCTGATGGGATCCAGGGCAGGTAGTGATAGGGAAGTCCCTGTGGAAGCTGCTGTTGACAGGGTTTGAGGGGACGAGTGAACCGATCAAGGCTGCACAGGCCATGGACACAATTCCCCCCCGGTCAGGCACGAGGGCTGCAGAGGAATTTGGCTATTTCACATTCCCCTGGGGGCTCCTCACCGTTCCTGTCCCACACACCGAGCAGCTGCCCCGGCTTTGGGGGTGTTTTTCTGCAGCAAGCACTGCCACAGTCACCAACACCCCGCTCTGAGGCCACCGACAGGCCTGCAGCGTCCTGGGAAACACAGCACATCTGAGCGCTCTGGGCAAACTGCTCCTGGTGTGGTTTGTGTTTCGCTCTCAATTCCTCTCTTCACGTTCGTGCTGGGAACTCAGCAGTGCCTGAAGCCGGTACAGCACCAGCAATTCAGCGGCCCACACATCTGGGAGGCCCTGGAGCGCTCCGGGTGATTGCAGCCACCCAGCCGAGACATTCGGGCAGCCTGACTCACCTGGAGCTCTGCTCGGGGCTCTGCCAGCAGCAGGAAACCTCTCCTGTCCCTTGGGCTCAGGGCTGGGGGGGCTCCGAGGGCCTGGGGGGGCTCTGAGGGGCTCGGGGGGGCTCTGAGGG